TCCACTAGTTTAAGTCTGAAAAGACTAAGTCCTACAGGGCGGGGCCACGTAGTTTTGGGATAAAGGAATTGCTAGTAAAGGTCCCATGCCTCTACTAAGAAGTGAGCTTCATCCCAAGGTCCACTTGATGCTAAGTTATCTCCCAATGGAAAACATGCTAATCGTAGAAACAATAAGAATCTGGTAATACTGAATCATTCATGGAGAATTTAATGATTATAAGAGTAGCTCCTTAAAATTATGATACATAACATAATCTGAGAGACTTTATCATAAAGAATCTAAATCATGATAATGATATAAACTAATGATATGAAACATCCTCAATTTTATTTTTAAGATTGTGACCACTTTCAGCCATTAAATCTAACATGGACTTTCTTATTTAATATCAAACTCATCTACTGATTCCAACACGATCCATATATTTTATACTAGATTCTGAGCACTTTCCAACAACTGTTGCATTGTAAAGAAGTCTATATGGAGCAACCACCCAATTTTGTTGCTCAGGGGGAGTTTACTATCCTTGTATGTTGATTACGTAAGTCACTCTATGGTCTGAAACAATTTGCGCAGGCTTGTTTTGGAATGTTTAACACTGTAATTTTATAATTTATCACTGTGTTTTATCGGCATTACGCATCAAATCCAATATTTAATGCGAAGACTAAGCACATTGAGATTGACTATCAATTTTGTGAAGTCGAGTGATCAACTTGTAGATATCTCACCAAACCCCTCATTGGTCCTCGTATTAATTACATTTGTAACAAGTTAGGTACATATGATTTCTATGCACTAGCTTGAGGGGGAGTGTTAGAATAGGAATAGGACTAGTAAATAGTCCATACTTGGTAAAGGACTGTATTGTAGTATCTATAAATAGAGTCTCTCAATAATAATGTAGATAACAACCCAATTCAATAATTTCTTCTCCTATATTTCTCACAAGAGGTTTCTTTGGGACTCAATGGGTGAAGAAGGACCTATTGATGAAGTTCCCACATACCTTGATAGAAACCCTAGGTGAAATTAGAGAAGACTTGGACCTATGGAATCCTTGTTCTTGCCTTAGGAGAGAAGCTTCAGGGAGGTGAATTTGATTTTGAGTGAATGAGAGAGAATGGGGAGGTTAAGGGCCTTAGGAATCAATTATAGCCTCCAAAATAAACCCAACATGACATAGTATAGGAATTAAAAGAGTGGGAAAAGACCCAACTACCACTGAGAAATAGTTGTGGAACAGCCTTAACGGGCACCATCCACAAACGGTATAACCTTCTACCTTCCGTGAAGTGGTCTGTAGAGACAAAGGGAAGAAATCTGACTTTCTAAAGTTCAACTCTACAGTCCGTAAATTGTTCCACGATCGGTGCATTCACTCATCCTGTCCAACCACCAAAATGTCCCACTTTCAAAACCTTCATTACTCGACAACGCCTACGGTCTATGGAACCTTACACGGGCCATATAACCTCTCGTACAACATCCTGAAGTCCACTGGTATGATCTACGGACCCATCTACTATTCGTAGAACCATCTACAAGTTGTGGAAACACCTTCATTCTATCAACCTCAAACACCAACTTGTTGAAGATGATCAACGGATGGGTCTACAGTCTGTGAATCTCTTTACGCGATAAAGCCTTTCGTAAATGTGATCCTAAATTTTCCCCATCCTGAGGTCCTTTCCATGATTGGCTTCCACAAACCATGAGAGTTGATATGGTCTGGGAACTTCTCTTGTTGAAGTAAATGTTGCAAACATTAGCAACTTTTTCTACACTTTTTTTATTTAGGCACTCCCGGGGTGTTACAAGGGATGAGCCAAGTCAAGAAGTCAAAGATTGCAATGCTAAATAGGCAATATGAGCATTTTTAAAAAAAATTAAAGGATGAACTCTTCAAGAGATGTTGAATAGATTCATTGACATTAGTAATGAATTGAATTATCATGGAGATCATCCCTTGAAGGAAGAAGATTGAAAAGCTTATAGATATATTACAGGACTCTTAGGAAGCAAGGTCAATACAGTAATGAAGGCAATATTTGGAGACAATGTTATGGATAACGTCGTGGGAAACGTGAAGACCCATGAAATGAAGAAATTCTAAAATCGGAAGAATGCTCCACCAAGAAAGGATGTGAACCTGGTCCTTAAAGCCACCCAGAATCAAGATTTGATGAAGAAGGTATGCTAACCTTGAGGTTCCAAAGGATTATCAGGAGAGAAGGACTCTAAAACAGAGGTAGCAGCTCAAATTCAAGAGCACCTGATAGAACAGAGGTAGCAGCTCAAATTCAAGAGAACCTGATAGGGGGTACTCTGAGGTATGCCACAGATGTGAAGTACTGACCACATTATCAAGAAGTGTCTAGAAAGAGAGAATAAATGGAGAAGGAATGCTCTTGATAAAGAAAACAGGGTTCAACTTCCTGGAAGCAAGATGACTACTCAAATAGATCAAGTAGTAAGGAAAGCACTAGCCTCCATGGACTCCTTAAGTGCTGATGAAGATGATGAAGTTGAAGAGTACAATCAATTGCTACTGACCATGGAAGAACCTGATAATATGATTTACCCACTGAATATGAAGAATGAAAGGTTAAGGTGAGTGAAAATAGAAGCATGTGATATGCCGGTAGTGCTTGTTCTAGACACATGACAAGAGAAGGAAATTTTTCTTCTCACTAGAAGCCTATCAGGGAGAGAGTGGAATTTGGAAAGCAAAAAAGACATCACTAGGATTGAAAACATTGAAAAATCCCACTCCCATGCAATTGAGAATATATATCATGTTAAAGCTTTAACGCACAACCTATTGAGTGTGTGACGGATATGTGATAAAGGGAACCAGGTTGTATTCACCTCAGATGAATGTACTCTTACACGTTCCAAAACCAAGAACCTGGTTCTCAGAGGAAAAAGACACAAAAATGTATACACAGCTGATGCCATGGCTCCGTTGAGGAATTAAGCTATAAGCTAAGCTGCACATGAGAATGACTTACTATTATGGCACAAAAGGCTAGGATGTGCAAGCTTCTCTCAACTCAACAAGTTGATATCAAGGACTTGGTTCTTGGGTTGCCAAAATCTATGTTATGGACAAAAGGTGTGTGATGCATGTGTCGAAGGAAAACATGTCAAGTCTCTTATTCAAATCAAATAAGATGGTAAGTACAACCCGACCACTAGAGCTGTTAAACATAGATATGTGGACCTATGAGTATTCAAAGCAGAGGGAGTAAGAGATACATGTTTGTGATTGTTAAAAACATTCCAAGTTCACATGGATATTGTTTCTTGTCTCCAGGGATGAAACATTGAATCTATTCTCAATATTTGTGAAAAAGCTACAAAGGAAGTTGAGTGTTCAAGTGGCTAGCATCATATCTAACCATGGTACTGAATTGAGATTGCTAGTTTTCTAGAATATTGTGACATCAAGGGGATCAATCACAACTTTTGAGAACCAAAAAGTCCACAGCAAAATGGTGTTGTTCAAGGAAGAACAAGACCTTGGAAGACATGGAAAGAACTATGTTCACAGCAAGTAATCTTCCAGAGTTATTTTGTGCTGAAGTTACCAACATTACATGATATATCATCAACAAATGCATGATTAAACCTTTGTAAAGAAGACTCCCTAGCAACTTCTAAAGGGAATCAAGCCAAACTTCACTCATGTTATAGCTTTTGGGAGCAAGTGTTTTTTCCACAACAATGGAACAAGATCGATGAAAGTTCGATGCAACAAGTGACAAGGGAATCTTTATTGGATATCCATCACATAATAAGGCTTACAAGGTATACAACTAGAGGACCTCATATGTTATCGAAAGTGTTCATGTAAATTTTGATGAATCTAATAGCCTGAAGGAGAGAGGAGCACAGGATGATGATGATGCTGAAATTGTGATTACACAGAGCTATGATCATAACCATCGCAAGACCTTCCAAAGAATTTGGTTAAAAGGAGGTCACATGGGTCACAAAACAAGAACTTGAACAAGATATGAAGTTGACAAGACAGTATACATGAACTTGGTTCACCTAAACCTCTAGGAGCTGAGCTGAGCAAAGCATCAAACAATTGCTTTTTTTAAAAAAATGGTAACTTTCATCAAACAGTTGCCGAGAGAACTAAAATATGGAGAAACCGGTCATATAGAACTTGTGTGTGATAATCAAGCGGCCTTTCATATCACATAAAACTCGGTGTCTCATGAGAGAACTAAGCACATTGAGATTTGATTGTCACTTTGTCAGAGAAAAGATACTCTCAGGCAAAGGCGGACCCACATACAATGTTGGGGATGAACGTGCACCCATTAACTTCGAAAAAAACCATGTATATATATGTATATCTATCTTGAGAAGTTGAAATAAGCTAGGATATAATTAGTAGTGTACCCATAAGGAGCATAGGAGTGACTTTTGTTGCTGGTATAAGCCAGAGAAATCACCATTGAGACCAGAGTTCAAATCCAGCTAAAATTTTTATTTTTAAGTTATACTTAGAGCTCAAATTGGTACACCCAAAATCTTTAAATCCTTGTTCGCCTCTCTCAAGAGATATTGTTACAAAAATTTTGAAATTAAGTGATCAACTTACGTTAATCTTCACCAACTCTCCTCCCACCAGTCCTCGTACTAATTACATTTGTAACAAGCTAGGTACATATGATTTGTATGCAAGGGGAAGTGTTAGAATTGGAATAGGCGAATCGGAATAGGTATATACAATCCTACTTAGAATAGGAATAGAAATAGTATATAGTATACAACTTGGTAAAGGATTGGATTATATTGTCTATAAATAGGGTCTCTTTATATTTTCAGCACTCTTGTATTATGATAGGTTTTATCTTTCCCCTTCCTAGAGCCTACTACCCTAGTTTTATAAATCTTGCATCCTCTCGATGCTTTGTTATAATACACTTCTCAGTTCATTAAAAAAAAGATTTGAAATGGGATTAAGCTGGTCAAACCTTTCTTTTCATTGCGCAGAACTTGCAATCTGAGGCTGATGGCGGGAGGATCTGATTAGCAATAAGCCTCTTGACAGGAACATCTTCCACCTTTAAGGAAGCACACAACCTGGACGATTCGCTAATTGCCATAACCTAAAGGGCACATGGTGACGTCCACCGGAAGCAGAGTGAGAACCACAAGTCAACAAGCAGCTCATTACTTTTCATATGGCAACAAATCCAAGGTATTTTGCACTATTAAAGTTTACACTAATTGTATTTCTCTAACATGGTCTATTTGCGAACTTCTCGTAAGCCAAAATGTTAGGTTCAGGCAATTTTTTGAACTTTAAGACTTGATGTAGTTGACAGATAACTAGGAGTAGGTTTTATTTCTAGGTGGGGCAATTTAGAGTTTAGTTAGTTCTACTCTGTACAGGAATTTAGCCTCTTTGCCTTAAAATTTTTTTGGATTCGAAAAACTGACATGACATACCAATAGCTAAAAAAAATTATTGAGACTTATATTTCAGGAAGTACACTTCAGTTGTTAAAATTTTAATTTAAGCTCAACTGTAAGGCAAATATAATAGTTGTGTGATGCAAACCTTGGAGACCACGGTTCAAATCATAGCAGGAACAAAACACACTATAGGTGATATCTCCCCCTCTTAGAAGTTACCCCGTATACAGTGGTTTCCGCCTTATACTAACAGACCCTAATCAGGCAGATACAGGAAAATATGCAAAACACCAGACAGAATATTACCGTGGGGATTGTTACTATGATAAATTCTGTCGAGGTTGTGTCACGAAAAAGCTCTCTTACTTTTATCATCCTCTCCCTTAACCGCTCCAATTTATCTGCCTGCACACATCCGAAATATGTGAGATTGACAAGTGTTATGCACATGAACACCCAGCGGTACATATTCCTAACTATGTAAAGCTTACAGCATCTGGCTTGGGCGTTCCTTCCTGGCCAAAGACAGACTTTATTGCTGAAGTGGCAGAAGCTATCTTCTGTCTCAACTGAAAAAGAGTTTATCCAGAGTAAAACAAAAGTAGATTACAGAGTTGAACCAGGTCAAGAATACTTTAAATGTGAATATATGATAACAGGCATCTGGAAGGGAAAAGGAATTCCAGGACCTTATTCAGTTGCAGAAAGAAACTAGCTGTCCAACTAAGAACCATAAGCCAAAAAGTTGCATTTATTGGGGAAGAGAAATTTTAAGCAGCAAATAATTTGTAGAGCATAATCAAGGAACCAAGTAGTTGCACACTGGGAATACAATGCAGGGAATGAATATGAGAGGCTTCAAGCACAACAAGTGAAGGTCTTTCTGCATTCCTTGAGCATTATTATACCTTCGATATTCATTGCGGATTGGTTATTTGTCAGTACCCGAGTTATATACTAGGTTAAATAAATCATCCACTCTTTTCACACATTTACTCTGACAGAACAACTGATCAATAAGTACATGACAGAAGCAAGACGTTTCCTAAAGAGAAAATCTGTCCATATCATGTTTTTGCATTCCTGAAATTTTCTTTTCGAATCAAAAGCAGATATGGAATTGAACAGGTTTGCTACCTTCAATAGCTTTCCAATTGATTTATCCAAGAAGTCTGGCAAGGATAAGAGTCGTAGAGTATGTCCCTGAGAGGAACCAATAAATATTAGGAATGTCTTCCCAAAACATAGTTTACAGGACATATCATGCTGTGCTCACCGTCGGGGCTGTGTCAAACACAATACGAGTAAACATATTATATTCCTGCGATTCAAGGAATTGCATAACCTGGCAAGAAGATCTGTAGCCAGTTAGGATGAAGGAAAACATTAACACTTCCGATGGAAAATATGAACAAAAACTTGAGTATAAAAAATTATGGCACCTTTGAAATTGCAATGGCTTCATCTAGACCAGGAGGGGGTGTATCCAGCAGTTCTCCAAGCTTTAGTTCCCCAAGCTTGCACATGCAAGAATAGGAATAAGCTAGTAGTGAAACAAGTGAAATCAACTCCATTTTGGTCAAGAAAATCTATGGTCGAAACTAAACACGCAAGTGGCAGAGGGATTTAAACAAAAAAAGAAAAGGACTTCAATTCCATTACTTCTCGTAAGTGCAACCTAGGCTTTATGTGGCTAGATAAAAGGCTTATTTCCCACTTTTATCACTCTTATTAAAGAAGAGAACTCACAATGATTTGATTTAATTTAGGGAAAAGAATTCTACCTGTTCAGCAAGCACTCCAAGGCCCATGCCGTCCATAAAGTCTTTGATACCAGATCCTCCACTTATCTGGGTCGCACTTCGAAATTCTTCCTTGGCCTTTTCAGGATTCAACTGACATGTTGACAATAGTATTCAAAATGAGCCTTAAACATGACACTGTTTAATTAAGTACCAAATCCCAGCCACCCCTATCCCTGGCCTCCAGCGAGGAGAATATAGCAATACTGGGTTATTGATTTTAGGTTGGATATCACCAAAGACAAGTAGGAAGAGGCTTTTCACAACCTCAAGCGCAAATAATGGAGAATACGGGCCTTCAACTGGAACTAGTGTGCCGCCAGTCAAATCCTACAGTCAGAACATGCAGACTGAATGAATGTTGTCACACAAGAAAAAATTCCAAAAAGGAAAAGGGAAGAAGTGATTCAGAGAACTGCCTGAAATGCAAAAAAAAAAAAGAAAAAAAAAACACTATCTTATACCTGGGCAAAAGAATCACTTAAGGAATGTGCAGGATCTGTTGAAACTACTAAAGTGGGATGACCATTATTTGCAAATTTTACAGCAAGTGAAGCAGCACAACTTGTCTTCCCAACTCCTCCTTTACCACCTAGCATGTAATACTTACGCTCGGTCCCAGAAACCATTTCATCAAATCCAGCAGGAGAAGCTACTGCTCTCACTGCCATTAGCACAAAGATTTAGCAACATTAACAAGGCCATAATAATTGGCATGGCTAGTGGAAGAAGTGAAACACTCCTGGGTTACCGTTTGTAATTGAATTCTAGTTAAATAGTTCTGATTGAGCTTACAAGGATTTATATATACCACTTAATATTTTATTACTTGCAGGATGAAAAGATTACACGGAAGTATACCATATACACTAGACAAAACATCAAAACTTTCACATTTGCAACCATAAACTGGGTCTTTTACACCACACAGAAATTAAGGACAACAAATTCATCAGCAGCTACCAGATGGTCAAACTAAAATTGTAATCAGGCTAATATCATCATAACCATCACCCTCATTTTAACGAGTGAAGTGGTATTACTGAATATATCACTGGTTGCGTCGTCTTAAGCCATAAGATATTTGCTGGAACTGCAAGGGCTAACCATCTCCATCATCTTAATCTTGTAGCTTATGTTGCTTAGTTTTATCTGGCATCCAAAGATATTACTCAATTCGACGATTGTAAAAGAAAAAAAAATCAATGAACGGTTGGTCCTAAATGATGAGGAATATGGTGCAGTCACCTATATGCTAATTATACAACTTGCAACTTCACACATTCTTACTTAAATTATTGCCAGAAATATAGGAGACGGATATTATTAAATTGTTATGTCTAAATTATTATATAGACCTTATTTAGAGGCACTATAATACAATGCTTTACTAAGTAGGATATTGCTTACTATTCCTATTCCTATTATTCCTATTCCTATTCCTATTCTAACTAGGATTGTATATACCCATTCTTATTCTAAAACTCCCCCTCAAACTAGTTCATATAAGTCATGTGTACCTAGCTTGTTGCAAATTGTAATTAATACGAGGTACGACGGGGGGCTTGAGGAGATATCTTCAAGTTGATCACTCGTCTTCACAAAATTGACGGAACGTGCTTAGTCTTCTCATGAAATATTGGATTTAATGTATAATACTAGTTTATCTCAATGTGCTTGGTCTTCTCATGAAATGCTGGATTTGAGGCATAATGTTGATAAAACACAGAGTAATAAATTCCTAAATTACAGTGTTTAACTTCCCAAACCAAGCCTGAGACCATAGAGTGACTTACACAATAGACATAAAAGGCTACGAGACTCCCCCTGAGCAAACAGAAATAGGTGGTTGCTCCATATAGACTTCGTCCTCAAGATCACCTTTTCATTTTTGCAAATCATAAAACTGGCTGAAACATGCCCATGCGCCATATTACTAGATTTGATAGCTGAAAGTGCCCACAGAGAAATAAAATTATACGGGTAGGGTTGGAATGATGGCACACCTAAATTTGTCGTCTTTATTTAAGAAAATACCAAAGGCGACACCTTTCTCGCCATGACGTCGCCTTTTGAAGATCGCCGCGCCATAAAGCTAAAAGGCGATGAAGGGTCGCCTCACCTCTCGCCATTGGCGACAAGGCGCTCGCCTTTCACAACATTGCTTTCACCAACCATTTGGTAATCTTCCCATTTATAGTACAAACTGAACAGGGCTCACTGCTTTACCTTAAATGGATTAAAACCAAACAATTGAACGGAATTAACTTAAAAAGTGTAAAAAGTAAAATTGATTCAAAATTGATCAGACCAAGCAAACATAAATCCCATTGAACTTAGAAGCAATGGTGCACCCGCCTTCTTTAAATACTTGATTCGGCTTTGATCTTTCATCCTAAGGGAGACTATTAATGGAAAGCAATTAATTCTATATTTTGAATGCACAACCAAATACTTGAATACAAAATTTATGACCCTGCCGCCTTCTTTAAATTCTTGATTCGGCTTTGATCTTTCATACTAAGGGAGACTACTGATGGAAAGCAATTGAAAGCACAACCAAATGCTTCATAAATTCAATACAAAATTTATGACCCTGATTGTTTCTCTTATGTAGCAGACCAAGTAACTCCTGAGGAAAACATTTGGGCCAAGGCATTTGACTAAGAGTCAACTGAGAGGATCAAGACCCAAGTTTTAATCATTCAGGGTGGTTTGATTGGTTGTTATACTTACGTGGAATATTAGCTTAGGTGTACTTAGAGGCATTGCCGCATAGGTGCACCTGCATTGTTCAAATCCTTCATCCAGGTCTAATCTTACATCCTAAGGCAACTAATGGCTACTCTACCGAGCGTTTTCTAGTTGCTAAACTCTACAGTTTTGATAGCCATATCATACTACTCCTATGGCAGTTATCATTTGTTAGACATCATCTGTGTTACTATTTTGTTTTAAGTCTAAACTGGGAATCTTTAAAACAAAAAAGAAAAATGTTAATCATTTAATTTTCAACACCCTGTCAAACTTTATATTGGCAAAGCAGAAGGAAAAATCCCCATTTTTCGCTACCCTATGAATGCACACAGGGTAAAACCCCGCAGAAGGCAAACCCACTTGCCAAGGGGTTTCAAACTTTGACACCTCCAACGTAGAAGTCCCAAGCCCAAACCAGTAGGTTCGGGTATAAATTCCCATTTTTTCACAACGGCGGAAATAAAGAATAAATGAAATAATATTTCTTTATCAACAAAAGGAAACCTATAACTGGATTTGTCTTCTTCACCTCAAAATGGGATTCCCATTTTCGTTCGTTGTTTACAAATTATAATTATATGAAACACAAAAGGTTCAAATAAAAGTAATTGAGTGGCAGAGTAACAAATAGCAGAAAATCTTGTGTTTTCAATAGAGAAACTTACCTTGCAAACACTTAATGGGCTGTTTCTTGAAGGAAATGAAAGTAGCCGAGCTGAAGGTTGGTCTGAAGTTGAAGAGAGAAAGTGGGTGTGAGGGTCTGAGAGAATTAGAAGAATGGCCATATCCCACAACTTCCATTGCAAAGATGAAAACACTTTCTTGGGTCTCCACTATCTTCTCTTAGCTTCTCCAGTTGCACACATTACTTGTGCCACAAAAATGAGCGAACACCTCACCAAAAGGTGTTTTAAGGGTCATGAAATTAAGGGTGTGTTTGGAAAGCACCTCATAATTGTAATTGGTATTAGCCTAGTAATTATAAGTGCAATCACACAAGGTTTATAATAAAATTTAAAAATAATATGTGATTATGCAAAATTAAAATTTTATAAAACATGATAATTAAGGTCTTTTATAAATGATGCTGAATTTGAGATATAAATTGTCTTATGAAAATATATTAATTAATAAATATATATTCTTATTTAATATTATAAAAAATTAGTATATTTTTATTAAATTAGTTATAAAAATAATTTCTATGAGTATTATGAAGAATATATGTTTGATAAAAATGTTAATGTTATAAATATAATGTCATAAAATTATTAAAAATCTTTGAAAGAAAGATTATTTATCAAGCCTAACTAAAAAATGACTTGCAATGTGAATATCATTTTGCTCGTTTGGTCTCGCTATCTCGTTCCTGGTTCTCTCTTTCAAGCTTCTTTCCATCCTGGGGATTTCTTCTCATTTCGTCTGTTCTGCTAGTTGGTGTCGCTCTCTCTCTTACTTATCTATTTTCATCCATCTTTACTCTCCTACAAGTCAATAATACTAAAATAAATTAAACTGAAAATATAATATTCCAAAACAAAAAAAGAAAAAACAATATTTTTTATGTCCAATTTCAGCAGAACGTAAATGTAAGTCTATAACCTTATTCAAAAATGAATTCTACCTTTACTTTAAATTAGAATGCTAACAAAATTATGATAAGAAAAAAAAGATAAATAATACGAAAAATTGAGTGCAATCACATAAAAATAAAGGTTGAAAATGAGAAGTAAATGAAATATATAAAAAAATTAATTTTAGAAAGTATATAACAAAATATATTTAAGAAAATAACAAAAATAAAATAAATTAAAATGAAAAAAATATAAAAAACAAATAAATAAAAGGAAGAAAATGAATTTAAAAAGTTTCATGCAATCTTTAAATAAGTTTCTTCGTACTTTTAGAATGTTTTATTGCTATTGTATTTTAACCTTTAAATTTGTTTCCTCAACTCTTGTGTCCCTTCAGAATGTGTATCCCTTTTATTACGTCAATTCAGGAACTAATTATACCCATTATTGTATCTTCTTCTTCATGACAAATTTATCCCTAATTTTTGTGGAACTTCGCAATTCCTTAGAAGTCTACTTTGGGTCTTCATCCAAAGAAATTATGAAACAAAACTATAATCTCCTTATAATTTTTTCCACTATTCAACATTCCAAAACAAAAATTATTTCAACTGCTCAATTTTTAAACAATTTATTACAACTATGACAATTATTTGGTTGTACTTATTTTTTTGTGTGCTTTTCACTTCTGTCATAACTTTTTTTAACAATTTATGTTAGTGTTTTTAATGGGATAATGCCCAAGTACCCCCTCAACCTATGCCCGAAATCCCAGAGACACACTTATACTATAGTAAGGTCCTATTACCCCCCTGAACTTATTTTATTAATAATTTTTTACCCCTTTTCAGCCTACGTGGCACTATCTTATGGGCCCAACGATGATTGACTTTTTTTTAAAACGATAATAGGACCTTAGTATAGTATAAGTGTGTCTCTGGGATTTCGGGCATAGGTTGAGGGGTACTTGGGTATTTTCCCTTTTTTAATCAATAATTTATTTTAGTATTTTGTTCAATAATCTTTAAAACTTAACTTTTATGCATTGGATTACTTTTGTGTTTTCAATTACGAAAACTTTTAAAGTATTCTTGATGAAATCAAAATTGAGAAAGAGACAATAAAGAGAGAATAAACTTCGCCACAATTTGTTAAGGTACTTGTACATGTTATTATATATTTATTGGGAGTTGAAATGTTGTTGATTAATCATATCTCAAAAATGTTGTAAAGTTTGACCGATATGAAAAAGCCACAATCCTTTAAAAATACAATTTTAAAAAAATCAAAACCCAAAGAAAAAGTTATAATCCCTCAATATAAAAAGTTGTCTACTTTTAACATAATTTACAATATAATTAAACTACCTATTTAAAATTATGCAAATAAATCTCGTTGTTGTATCTTCTTCTTCTTCATGACAAAATTCATCCCTAATTTTCGTGGAACATCGTCAATTCCTTGAAAGTCTACTTTGGATCTTCACCAAAAAAATATAAAAATGAAATAATACTATAACTTCATTGTAGTTTTTTCTTGAATTTAACATTTCAAAAGAAATACTATTTCAATTGTTCAATTCTTAAACAACTTATCACAACCATGATAAATTTTTGGTTCGTAACTATTTTTTGGAGCTTTTTCCTTTCATTATCACTTCGTTCGACAACGACGTTAGTATTTTATTTATGATTGGTAAAATTTTATCTTTTATAAATTTGTAATAAATTACTTTTTTTGTTACGAAAACTTTTAAGCATTCTTGATGTTATCAAAATTAAGGAAAAGACAACAAAAAAAGAATAAATTCCGCCACAACTTGATAAGATACTTGTACCTAATAATATATTTTACAAGGAGTTGAAATATTTTATTAATCATATCTCAAAAATGTTGTAAATTTTGACTGATATGTAAAAGTCATAATCCTTTAGAAAAATTACTATTTAAAAAAAAATAAAACCCAACGAAAAAGTTATAATCCCTCAGTGTAAAAACTTGTCTAGTTTTAACATAATTTATGATATAACTAAACTACCTATAAAAATTACGCAAATATTGCTTATCGTTGTTACTTCTTTTTCTTGACAAAATTTATTTCTAAATTTTGTTGTACATCTTCAATTCCTCGGAAGCCTATTTTGGTTCTTCACCAAAAAAAAATGTAACAACACTATAACTTCATTTTAGTTTTTCCTTCTATTGAACAGCTCAAAAGAAATACTAGATCAACTGTTCAATTCTTAAACAACTGATCACAACCATGACAATTTTTTGATTCATACCTATTTTTTGTGTTTTTTCTTTCTGTTATCACTTCGTTCGACAACTTACTTTAGTGTTTTATTTATGATCGCTAAAATTTTATCTTTTATGAATTTGTAATAAATTACTTTTTTTGTTATGAAAACTTTTTAAACATTCTTGATGGAATCAAAATTGAGGAAAAGACAACAAAGAAAGAATGAATTCTCCACAGCTTGATAAGGTACTTGTACCCAAAGGTGGAGGCAGGATTTTCAATAAGGGGGTTCAAAATTTGTAGAAATAGATAGCCAAAGGGGTTTGACATATACTATATATACATATAAACTTATTTTAACCATGTAAATAATATAATTTTTCGCCGAAGGGGGGTCGGATGAACCCCTTTGTATGAAGGTAGCCCCTGCAGTCGTACCTATTAATATATTTTACTAGTAGTTGAAATGTTTTTTTTAATCATATCTCAAAAATTACTGATATGTAAAAGTCATAATCCTTTAGAAAAATCACAATCCATCGAAAAAGTCATAATCCTTCAATGTAAAAAGTTGCTTGCTTTTAATATATTTATAATATAATTAAATATAGCGTTGAATAATTTGTAGGATTCGTGCTAAGACTTTTGGTATTAATACTTATCTATAGTATGAAATATAGAATATGTACTAAATTGCGTGTTAACAAGAAGAAGAAAAATTTAAAAAAAATTTAGAAATTTTGTGGTTTAAAAATGTAAGAGAACCCCTCTAATTATATCCAACAAATGGTAGTATGAACAAATGTTTATTATGCCATATCAGAAAAGTCACTATCCTTCGAAAAAACCACAATATTTTAGAAAAGATCACAATCCTTTGGAAAAGTCACAACTCTCAAAATTAATAACTATTCAGAAAAATTACAACTCTTTTGAAAAAGTCACAACCCTTTGAAAAGTGACAATCCTTCAATGTAAGAAGGTTTCTTCTTTTAATATATTTTAAATTACATTATACATAAATATATAATTGTAAAACCTTGGACTTTGAAAGAGCTAAATCGAGAGTCGTACAAGTTACTCTTCAATTATGAGTTTTGGGTCAACTTCAAACGACTATAACTTTCATCACATGATGAGTTAGGTGTCCCATGAAGTATCAAATTGAAGGTCATTGAGCTCCCTTTCCAACATCATCGAGTTCACTAAGTTTTGAGTTTGGATGAAGGAGAAATGCATCTTTGAGTGCAACAAGCATTTTTCATCCATTTTAAGGAAGGGTATTTTGGTCTTTTCCCTACCCCACTAGACCTACACATTTTTCCACCCAATTAAGGTTCTAAACCGATGGAGATCAGTTTTCATTCATTCCTAAATTCGTAGGGTTGAGAAAGGGTTTTCAAGAGGAGAAAAAAGAGAAAGTTTCAACAGTTCTTCCAAGCTATAAGGATTTTGGCCAAGAACTTAGTTCTCACGAGGTATTTAAGTTTTCATAGTGTTGGGTTTGTTCACCATCAAGTCAATCATGAGTTTTCAGTTATGAATTCGTTCATGAGATTGTGTATATTGAGATTCTTGAGGAGTTCTTGAGGTTTTACTTCATTCTTTAACAAATGGAGTCTTGTTGAGTTCTTGAGGTGGGTTTTTTTTTTGCAAATGAGTGATGTTCTTGATGGAATTTGAGTGGGTTTTCGATTAATTTTGTTAAGTTTTTGAATCTAAATGAGTTTGGGAGTAAATCAATAGATGATCTAGGCCTTGATTTGATGAAGAACAATATTAAAAAAACTTGGTAGGGGTGGGGCATCACGCCGCAGTGCGTGTAAATGACTGTTAAATAATTTGGGGCCTGGCACCCTATGCGACATGTACGCCAAGGTCGTGGGGCCTATTTCTTCTCTGTTCTTCGTCCCGTATGAGTTCTTTCAAGTAGTGTTTTCTCTCTCTTCACCATAATAACTATCGAAGACTTCATTAATTGCATATCCTAATCATAACTCTTAAATCATATATGTTATTTGTCAAATATAGAAAGTGTGAGTTTTGGTTGAGACCGGTGGCATTTCTTGGTCATAT